TGCGTCTTGTTCGTTATTCAGAATTTTTCTCCCGTCTACTAGGGAGTAATTTCGAGCGCTGCTGTAAAGACGTAGCAATACAACAGGAAGGAAGGTGATAATGCTTTACTTCAGGGCCCCCAAATTTTTAATTATTAAAATATTTCCCCGTATTTATTACTCACCAGAGAGCGTGAAGGGAGACCAGCTTAGCTGGGGGTTGCGTGTCTTCCCAGCAGCGTCAAAGATGCGTTTATTGTAATTGCTGGACTGTGTTCAATGTGTGAGAGGATATCTTTGTTTTGGGGGCTGTGGGCTTTACCAGAACACTTTTGTGGCCTCCCTGTGCAGGTTTCAGCTTTCTGTTTACCCTTACCCAAGAGAAAATTGTAATTAAATGGGGGGAGTAGACCACTGTTGTGCTTGTGGATTGCTCATCCTCAGACTGGATTACTCCGGGTCCTGTATAGTCCAGGCTTAAATCCGCGCTCTCGGGAATACGTTGATGCCGGAGCCCTGCTGTGCTAGCCTGGCTTGGAGGCACCGTTAGTCGAGCAGCTTTATTTTTCTGTGCTTTTAGAGTTTGATCGGAGCATGGAGCCCTTCTCCCCACCAGAACCAGAGTTTCCTGCAGAAAAGAGCTCGTCGGTGCCGCAGAAAACGTTCCGTGTCCTGGTGGGTGTGACTGGCAGCGTGGCTGCCCTGAAGCTGGCTCTCCCCCTCGCTGAATTGTTGAAAATCCCTGGGGTGAGTAAATCTATTGGTAGAAGTCTCGTGAAGTTGGTGTTAGCCTGTTTCTCATTACTAGCAGAGATTTGATGGCTTCTGTGGAAAAGTTTCTTCTGGCTTTGAGCCCTTTAGTTTTGAAAATTTGTTGGGGGAGGGATCCTCTTGTTTTTAAAAATTGAGGAATACCTTTTCCTGTCATTTTGTACTTCTTTATACTTAACAGTTAGCTTTAAACTAGGTTTTGAGGGCAATAACTGTTCCTGGATATTTCCATAGGCAGACATTTAGATTCTGGAATAAGAAATTAGCATTGTTCAGTTCAGCTTGCTTTATTTTCACAAAAGTGATTGAATAGGTCCTTGTCTTGTGATTTTTCTTTTCTGGGTTATGCTCTTGTCAGTCAAATTATCAGATCTGGCTACAGACACAGAAGATGCTGTCCGGAACTTGAAATCTCTAATGAGGACCCTGAGGGTTTTCATAGGTGAGACGTGGAGTTAGCAAAGATGGACACTACTGTCTGACCAACAAAAGGAAACCAGACCTTGTAAAAATAGAAAGTACAAACTGCTATATATGTCTCTGCTTTTTTTTCTTTTTTTAAGCTAGTTTATTGTCTGGAGTAACAGAGGTGTCCAGCAGAGGCCACTAGTGACTACAGTCAGGGAGGGAAACGTGCTAGTAGAATGAAATTAGAGGAAAACATAGAAAACCTTTAGCTTTTAAGAAATGAAGCAAATGTTTTGGAGCAGTGTGCAATCCCTGAGTAACTCTGAACTATCTGGCTGATGTTGATATCCAAGCCGGAAAGGCTACCGAAGATGCGGCGAGCTGTTGGGCACTTGTTCTGCCAGTTAGGCTGCCGTTGTGGGTTGGAAAGAGGGGCCTGGGTTAATTTAGTACTTGACCTGAGGTGATTAGTGAGGCCAAAGGTCCTAACCTGGAGTGAGAGGGCCAGGGACAAACGATGCCAAGGCAGAGGGGGCGACAAGACCTTGTTTTCTTGTCAGCGAGGGATGCGGGATACGCCTCCTCTAATCCTCTGTCTCAGATTGACGTCGCTGTTGTCTCTTTTCCTTTGCTCTCGGTGCTTGGGACACCCTTCTCTGCAGGGTGACAGGAAGAATGCCGATGGCCCGATGTAGGAATCTAGATCAAACGCGTTCTTTCTCTCTGAGCGTTTGATTCGTAGTTAAAAACTGCTGTTTGCCGGACCTGAATGCCCCGTGAAGTCCCAGAGGTGCTGTGACATCTGTTGCAGGCTTTGCACCCACTGGTTTTAGGCTTTTGTTGCATAAAAAGTGAAGTATCCAATCCTGGTACTTAATTTGTTAATTAAAATTATGTATTTACTCGTTCCTGTTGTGATTTCAAGGCCTGATCTAGAGCCCGCTGAGTCAGTGTAACTTTTCCATTGAGTTTATTAAGTCCTGCACAAGCCTGTCGCATCAATTTCTTTATGGAGGGAACAGAACTTTCAAAAGCCGTCGGTGGAAGCAGGGCAGGAGCAGAGGAAGGCTTTGATACCAAAGGAGATGTGATCAGAGGCTTGAAACCACAGTGGTTAGTTTAAATTTATGTTTTTGCCAAGATGGTCTTCGGTGGACAACTTGGCAGTGTGATTTTTGCACTCGTTAAACCTTAACACCTCCTTGAGGGTGATAATGGCTACAACTACATCTTCTTGCCTTTTGTTTAACCTCTTTGAAGAACTAGGAAATTTGGACGGCGTCAGTTTACGCCTTTCAGGTTATTACCCTTGCACCTGGTGTTGTGGGGAGACAGCACTGTAGTGTCTCGTCAGGATGCTGTGGGTAACTCTCGTGGTTGCGCTATGCTCACACGTGTTGTCTCAGGCCGATTCCTAGGATTTTTGAATGGCCCTGCAGGAATACGATAACAAAAATCACATTGGCAGGATATTGGTTAAGTCGTAAAGAAAGGAAACGGCCAACTTTTGTGTTGGTGAAATGTATCGCTCTTGAAGCTACAGGATGTTATCTGGACTTCTAGGTTTACGTCACGTCATTTCGTCGCGCTCCTGCTGGGTAGCCTCTATGTCAGCTTGTAGGTGCCATTTAGCAGAGGAACTACTCATTCTCTTCTGCGGCAGTTGTGACGGAAGCTCAGTCCGTCTGTAAAGATTTTGCTGTCAAAGCTGAGAAAGTTAGGGGAAAAAAAAAATCCATACACACCCCCTTACCCCAAGCAGAAACGGCTGTGGCAGGAGAATCCTCTAACAGAGACGAGCGACACTGCGTGAACACGGGAGAGCAGTTTGGCAGTAAAGTCTGTTCTGGAGGATTGGCTTAACTGGTCCAAGTAAAAGCGCTCTAACTAGTCTAAACCGTCTCCTGTAAAGTTTGAGTGTGGCTAGACAGACTTTACTGTTCAAGCAGAGATATAACCACAGGCAAACAGAGGGTCTGCCAGGTAAATAGAAGGAAAAAACGATGTAGGCTAAAGTGATCTTGAGAACACTGATCTCTTTCCAACGTAGCTGGAGGGACTTGAAGGACTTGCTCAGAACAAGGGATCCAGGAGCCCACCCCAGCAGAAAACCTTAATTAGGGAGAATATTTAACTAATAGAGTTTCTTGGGGGAATGGTGGAGTCGCCACCACTCAGAGTCCTTGAACATATCTGTTTGGTGTGCTCTAGTGTGTAGTGGGTTGGATGCAGTACTCGATAGCCAGCTATTCCCTGTTCCTGGGCTTATGCTTTGAAGAAATAAGTATTTTTTAAAGACCGGAGATGGTTATGAAACTATCTTAAAAAAATAAATCTAAAAAATCAGAGTGTCTTTTGGGGATTTTTGTGTATCCTTTAGCCTTAGAGGGGTATTTCTTGTCTAGACTAGAAAATTTTGAATAATGACATGATTGAAGTAGCAAGTGACAAAATATGTCATGAGGTAGAGTTATATCATCTAAAAATCCTTACAGCATTATGGCTAACTGTAAAGTAAGAGTACCACTAACAAACATTACTGCTGAAAACTTTTAGCACAGACCTGGCCTACCGGTACCATTGCAGAGAGCAGACGGTCCCCTTTAAACCTCACCTTGCTTATTTTAGAATCACCAAATAAAGAGTATCTTGCAGACTGCGAGGCGAACACCTCACTGAAGGCAGTGGCACAGCAGAAAGCAGCGTTAGCACCTTTGTGGGTGTCGCTGCTTGGCTCCAGACAGCTTCCTGTGAGGCGAGGGTAATATGGAAACAATACGGTTGATTGCTGTGAATACAATCTTCACACTCGAAAGCACTAGAAGCGCGGCTGGGATTCCGAGTTAGGCTCGCTTGAAAAAGAGCAGACATTTAGAAGAGGCAAAAAACCAAACATATAGTACCAAATACCGGTGTTATGTGCAGCTATATTTTCCCATTACTCTTTCTTTGGAAAACAGGGAAAAATTACTAAAGACCATGATAAGCTGAGGCTGGGATTTTCCACTGCTCCCAGCTGTTATTCTGGTTCACGTAGGGTGCAGATAATCAACGCTGCTCCATTCCCAGTCAAATAGATAGTGTTAGGGAGATAGGTTAACATGTTTTGTCACTTCGACCGCTGCTGTTGAAGATAGCTTCTTGGAGGTTGGAGGTTTTCAGCC